GGCTCCCAGAAACATTTAGACATTTGCACGCCCTCAGCTTAATGTTTCAAGTGGTTAATCAGAACCAAAAAATGTCTTCACAGATGTCATTGTGATTTACGCTACAATGGATTAGTCCTATATTTATTTACTTAGATACTTTGTGTCACTTGCTTGGTGCTTTAGAGACCACTAGACAAACCCGGCTAGGCTGAACGTTTTATCGTAAAGAAGGTTCTGTAAAGGAATCTAATTTTAACAAGGAAAGTGAAGCCATTTAATAATCAATGAAAAGCAAGTAAACACAGAGCAGCCAAGCAAAGGTAGCTAAACAATGGCACTTAAGGTGGTTTCAGTTACGCACCTGCTCAGCGTGCTGCAACGGAGAAACAAAAAGGATACAAAAATGAAGTCATCCATGTATCTCTTCTTAAGGTTGTCTGTGATGGCGTCTTCGCTAATCTTGGAGAGCAGGACCATGTCGTCCACGCCGCTCACCTTCACGTTCTGGGTCTGCCAGTGATAACGCTCTTTACTCCCCTGGAAGATCAAAGGTCATAGGACAGGAAAAAGATGAAGGAAACGGGAAGACGGCTGCAGTTATTGAGGATTATTTCCTCTCATTACCAGCATTCAGGTTAAATTGTCCAGAAATGATACTACTTTGTATCGTTTTTGTAAGAAGTGATGCCACAATCAGGCAGATTTATCTCCAAGTGTATTAAATTATGACTCAAACCACAGACAAAGCGTGATATGAAAATCAACCACCGGAAACAAGTTATCATCTTAGATTTTCGCTTTAAAATATATGAAGTCCACATTATTAAATACATTGCGGATCATTACGGAATCACAGCTTAACCTTCCAATGGTAAAGAACCACAGATGTTTTAAGTTTTCCTTAAAGGACAGATGTTAAGAAACACAGGGAGAACAGGTTATGAGCCTGGGTAGAATTTGGGTTAGCATTTAAATGGATAAATCCCACCTACACCTACGCATATTGTAAATCGTGAAAGAATGCCTTTATGTCTTTTACAAGTTACTTCATCATTAATGAATCCCTACAGGATATAACCCGTCTACAGGAAGTAAGAATATTTATGCAACAAAACAAAGCACAATTTAGAAACCCAACAAATAGATACATTTAGTCTGCAGCGATGACTTAATGCCAGTGATCACATAAATAAATATAGGAAAATTCTTCCTGCATTTTTTTCCCCCCCCTCGTACTGAGAATTACGTTCAATACAATAATACAAAGGTATGTACAATGGGTCACTTCCCTGTGGGCTAGTATAGCTACTTATAGAAATGTCCATGCTAGTTTCTTCGAAACTCTTCCTTTTTGCCAAATTATCCAGTCAAATGCTCTCATAAGGCAACCTGCAAATATCTGTGCGCAAAAAGTTTGCAATCATGATGCCACTTATTACCAAATGATGACATCATTGCTAATTATAATGGCATCTATAGGATACTGTATGACTAAATCCACTTCCCACGAAGAAAAAAATTGAGTCTATGCAATAACTACACAAAGACAGCCGATTTAAACTGTCGCTCTGAAGTCGTGAAGCATAATATTCTATTATAAAACTTCACCTCCATGAACAATCCATTTGTCATTTTAAAGACTGATACTGCTAGTGAAATGGCACTTTTTCCATTCATAAAGTCTGTTTTTCTAAAGTGAATGGATGATTTGTAGGAGTGCTAATAATATTCCATGTGGACATAGCAATATAAAGCTGCTCATGGCTAATAAAAAGGTGGTAATATTATTGCATGAATACATTCATGCTAACGATAAACTTCCTCAAGGGTCCACTGGGGGACATACAGTGTATCGCACCACACAGCAGATATAAACTCATGAACTGGGATGTGAGATCATTACAACAAACATCGGTTTGTGTTTGCTGAAAAGAGGAATGGTGCACATGCAGACACAGAGAGGCGCAAGATTTCCAAAGCAGTGCATCAACTGAGAATGATTTTATAACTGAATTACATCCCAAACACATCAACAGCAGTCCTTTCATAGTGAAGTCGACTCATCCTAAAGAATTCTGTACATAATACACAATCACACTGATCATTCTACCCATTCCTTATCTATTGCATTACATGTAAGGAACACCTTACATGTAACACAATAATAAAACCGATATTGAGTCTTAGACAGGAAACACTACTGTGAGACTTCTTAAAATGTGTACTCCATCATAGAACTGGAAAAAAGCACAAATAAAATTCCATTCTTAGTCCTGTGACAAGCCATCTTATTTAAGAAAACACTGCAGTGTATATCATTTTCTCTTCAGGGATCTCAACATCTTTCAACAATAAGTGTGAATGAAAATGGAGACTGAGTAACATCTGTAATATTCACAGAAAGTCCTGCTTATTCTGGTAAACGAACATGACCTTCTGCACCAATGCAACATTTTTAAAAATACTCTTAAACTCGCTTCCTCCGCCACGTTCCTCATTTCTCTGCACCTTGAAAGGACACCAGGAAGAGCTGCGTGATGCAGACAAGAGCGCCATTGCTCAGATTTGTACGCATGCAGCTAAACTGCAGAACGAAAATCACATCTGTTTGTGCGCTGTTCTTACCAGTTTGTTTTAATACACATCCATCAAACCACCAGCACGGTTTCTCACTACTGCTGTGTAACCGGATCACCTGATTAAAACACCTGTAGGGATTGGAACAGAACTTCCAGTGACAGAGTCCTGTATTTATTTATTTAAAAAAAAAATACTACCACAGTCCGCATTCCTCCTCTCATCAGGAAGCGTGCCAGAGCTGCGTGGTCCTGTACAGGCACGCTGGTGTTAAACTGGAGATCGTTACCAGATCCGCGCAGATAACTGACAGCAGCTTGCTGCCTAAATATCCCCAACGTTACTTATACAGTTTTACAACATTTAAGCCTGTTAAGATACTGCCACACATGAGTTTTCCGTAATCTGTGCCGCGCCACTCTGTGTTTAATTCCCCATGCTAGGATCCTTAGGGTCAGAGAGTTTACAAGGGCGGGGATTTGCGGACATAATGCAAATACAGAATATTACATCTGATTTTAATACTGTCACGTTAAAATGTATCTAAAACGCAGGGTCCGAATTAAAGCCATACTATAAATGAGTAAGGCAGACATATACCGGCACAAGTATACTCGACAGAAAGTGGAAAAATCCCAGTACGTGTCAAGCTACGGCTTCCGCGGGCTCACCTGCACTCCGCCCTGCAAATGCACATACAAACACACACAGGTTTAAACCTTTGGCCTAAATTTTCGACACAGCGTTATTTTTAAAGCATTATTTCCTTAAGCTGTCATAAATATACCGACAATATAATACAATCTTTAAAACGTCAGGACAAAACGCCCTTCCCGGTTTTGGTTCCTTGGATAATTCAATCCTGGAAAGACTTACAAAGTTTTAACGTCGGACCCCCTCGCGAATACACATTTATGTTGACTTACAAAGAAATATCTTAACCTGGTGCACTTACCATTGTGGTTTTTGCAACTTTCTTGATACAACCGACGAAACTATCACCTTTACGCCGTGGAAAAGTTAAACCACACTCGTTTTTCAGGTTGTGTTAAGGTAGAAAATTGGTGCTCATATCAACGGCGACTAATTAAAACGTAAAAATGTCCAGGCAAAATCATCTGTATCCCAGGACGATATTTCTAACTACATCGGCAGTTGGTTTCCCAAGAAAGATAAGAAAGGAAAAGCGAACATGCAGCGTGAGACTATTTTAATGGTTTTTTTTCCTTAAGTGCTACAGCAGCAGGTAGGTACGGCAGTAATTCCCTGCTGTCTAATTGAATTGTGGGTATTTGAACCGCAGTACTTCCAATACACAATAGCGCCACCCTGCGTGACTTAAGTAGAAATACAAACGCCTGGAATTAAGGTATTTAGATATAACGCAGGGCAAACGGGGGTTTACATGTTACATGTCATACACTACTCCCTGGATAAAGAAATAAGTAAACCAACGAAAACGAATTTGCACTTTGATGTGAAACTACGTATTCGTATTTTGGATAAATGAAATTTACACGATGGATATGGTTTTACAACAATTCCATCTGCCTGTCCGTTTTAGAACGAGTCAGTGAACGGCTCGTACTTACAGTAAGAAGTACCAGAGAATAACTGTACTCACCAGTGAGTTATTCATTTATAATTCACTGACAACTGTGGATAAAAAGCGATGGAAGCACAAGCATGGCCGTTGTAATTTCACCCATTCTCTTGAGTTTGACTGAACAATATGATTTTAATTAAGATACTACCATATGTCCCAATCTACAACTTTATCAATTAAATGTAATTATATGTTACAGGTACAACTCAATAAAAAAACACTTTGTTGTACTTCGATTTCTTTTAGGGGGCTTAAAATATTAGTAAAACTACTGAACTGAATTTAATGAAATACCACTTTTGCAGAAGCTACAAAAAACTACATAACATACATTATTTGATGAAGTTCTAAATATATTAAACTTTATTGCAGCTTTCCAATGAACCTTCAAAGACGTCTCAAAAAAGAATCATAATCCGCTCTCGTAGCAATTAAGCCATATCACACTGGAAAACGTGTACAGTGACCTTGCTCGAGACGGTCTCATTATCTAAATCTCTTACTTTTAAGGGGCTAATTTAGCCACATTGTCGGATGACGGTATCGGACACACAGATAGACGAGCAATGAATGCTAACCAATCTAAAACACTGGTGGCATTCAGTTGTGTGTTGTTTGATTTTCTGTATTCTTTTACACCTGTTTAACCATGTTAGTTAAGAAGGGCTTGGTTATTTCAAACACTTGCGTGACGTGTAGAACTGGATCATACAGAAACTAGCCCCTCAGGACAACAAAAGTCCTATTCACTAGAAAGGCAATATGTAAACTGAGCTTCAAAGAATCTACTACGTGTTGAACATTTGTGCACGGCTGTATATGTTGTACGTAGACAGACGAGAAAATGTCTTTTATTGTACAAAGAAACATTCACAAGTTAAGGGTCACTCACATGATCATGTGAGATGGTCCATTACAACAATTAAAGGAGATAGAACAGTCCACAAAATTAAACTTGAGATAATTCATTGAGACTAATAGGTGTGTCTCCTATTTCCACAAGCCTAACAAAAACGGTGACATGAGATATCCGCAGATACAATATAATAACTGAACTGCAGGGGGCGAAAACGAGCAGAATGATGAACAGCGGTGTGTTTGGAGAAGCAGGCAGAAAGCAGTCTGGCGCTTTCATAGCACCGACTATTTTCCATCCTTTAACATACTCCTCGACTAAATCAGTTTTCCTATATGGAATTTTCCTAAAGCTGCAGGGGTAAAATAAAAAATAAGGGGAAAAAAAGCACCTCAGTCAAACTCCTTTTTGTAAACCTCAATTCCAGATAATTTTGTTTCAAGTATGTGGACCTCAGAATATGTGCAGAGAAAAGGGTTAAAACCACAGAACATTTTTCTTGTTTAAACTCCCTGAACCCACAAAGTCTTTCTTTAGTGGCTTAGGCATCGAAACAGTCCTTTTCACATCTCATATTTCCTCCATAGGGGGCAATGGGACGTCCAGGCGATAAAATGGAAAACGGTGAACAAAATTTTCATTCGGTCCAAAGATTCGCCTTCAAAAATCCTTGGTGTCATGTCAACTGACACTTAAAAAAAAAATAAAAAATCATCCTCGCAGTCATCTGCACAAACAACGTTTTTTGGGATCCTCCCGACATTTCGTGAAGAACACTCTGCCCTGCGTTTGTGTGGCGTGCTGCATGTCTTAAGACTACCTGGTCAGGTCCCTCCCCCACTTCTACAGGATGTCAGAGTGCGCCTATGCACCCCAGGGAACTTGGGGTCGGGAGGGACCCCTACTGTGTCTATCACAGTGGGTAAGCATGAGGACTCTGCTTCCATATTGCATCATAAACATGCGCAACAAGTTGTAATCAGATCCACGGCAGGTGGGGATATACTAGGCCTGCTAGTAAGAGATCTCTGGCTACATGGCCGATGTTGTACAACAGGGAAAGACCCATTTGCTTTGGTGGAGTCTGGTAGACGGCAGGTTTGTAACTTTACAGAAAAACGCATCACCACCTAGGAGGGAGCTGCTGTACACATACAAATCAAGGTTGTAGCTGAAATCACACATCTGTAGTACTGTACAATTTCCACTAACATATCTACACTTCAGAATTCCATAGGGATAATAGTTTGAAGCTCTATTATCTAAAACACATTTTTAAAACAATCCACAGTAAAACTAGACTTTTTACCAAGAACAATAAAAAGTCTCATTAAATCAGTTTACTGCTGAATGCCATATTATGTAACAAAACTGAGATTTTAAGCATCACATTAATCAAAGATGGCATTTGTATCTGCATTCCATCCCCTGAGATATAGGATCACACTCAAAATTGAACCTCAACACACGCCAAGGAGAAGTAACAACTTTCCTTGAATTAAACAAGGTACCAAATATTCATTCCTAATAGATGCTTAAAGAACAGGTTGTCGGGATGCAGCAATCACAGATGCAGAGATCCTCTGAAGATCAAGGTGAGGCTGGTGATCTGGCACGTCTCCCGTCACCATGGCTCAGGTTATCATGCTTCCGCGTCTCGCCTACTGCAGAGGAACTGATTTATGCCTAAGAGTGATGTATCTTACAACACACGGTAAGCACATACTTACCATGAATTTAATAAACTTTAGGAGTACCATCATGAAAGTGCACCAATGTGAGATGAAAAGAGTGATCCCAAGCCACAGGTAGTGCAGCTTGTAGGAATTCAGGAACGTCACAAAATAAGAGAAAGTGGCAGGAGGGATAAGAGAACTGATGCACTAAATTAAATAGAGATGCAGAAAAGGTGAAGGGGGAAGAGAAGGAACCGGAAATGACATGCGAACTCTCAGTCGTCACTGTATAAAAAAATTGAAGAACTAGCCCAAGAGTGTCCATCCAGTAGGAGAGAATTCATACATGGGATACTTCCAGGAAAGGATGTGAAAGGAGAGACGGACCCCAAGTCTGCCAACGTTCTTCCACATGAGTCCCTTTGTGTGCCTCCAAGCAGGATCACATGATGCCGTTAGTGAGGTACTGGAAGCCGTCGTACAGCTTGGTGGTGAGCGAGCGCATGGACCCATCGACCATCTGCTCCACCAGCACCTGCAGCTGCTCCTCAGTCAGGTTCATGTGAAAACGCTCCTTTAGGTTCCGGATGGTGCTCGAGCCATGAAAGCAGGGCAGCTGCGAGCCTGGGGAGGGACGATGGAGAGAACTGTGGTCAGACGCCGTGGTAGGTGGCTAACGAAAGCTTACAGGTCAACAGCATTTAGGAGCAAGACCAAGAACAATTCAATGAAGAACACTGACTTTGCTTCAATTAAACAAGACACCAAATACATGTGACGTAGGGGTGGGTATAGGCACGTTTTATCTGATTCACAAGATAACAATTTGATATCAATCCAAACGAAATGGGATATCGCAGCTTTCTATATTTGGAGAGATGTTCAAAAAGCTCTAAACAGAACACAAATCTACAAATGCATAGTCTCTGGAAACAAACAGCAAAAAGCACTAAAGAAAGGCAAAGGCTTGTATATCAAAATCTGTTTCTATAAGGAAAATATGGATATTTAAGAACAAATCCAACCTCCAGAGTCTTACAAACTACAAAAGAGACTTCTGACTGAAAAGAAATGTGCAAGTCTAAAACTCACATGCCAAGTTTTAGAAGGGCTTTAACTTAAAGAAATGTGCCAAAACATTTATTAGAACAGTTTCTTTTTTGAAGAACATATGGGTATTGTTTAGGGCTGGGAATCGGCCCTGTCCACACAATTCAATTGTGCCTGACTGGATTCCATTTTGACTCAATTCAATCTATGTTTAAGGCACATTCACTAATGTGTGATCAAACCAAATCTATGCAATGACAATGGGCACAGCACTGTAGCGTTAATTTTGCAAAGCAATTGTTTATTTACCATTACATGATGAAAATAAGATAAAAATTAACAATATTCTCATAATTGACAGCAGGTCACAAACAATAATATCCCTTTTCTCTTTATTTTGCTCTTATATAACGTTATTTCAAGTCACCGTAAGCAGTCCACTGAAAATGACTGGTGCATGTTAAGAACAATGCTATCAGTTCTGAGGAGCTAAACAATATTAGCCTCTTTAGAAGTGTGGCGGAAGATGATTACCTTGCTGCATGATCTCCACAATCTGGACCACTTTATCCATGTGCTTCCGTGCAGCAATCAGGCCCTGCAGCATCAGCATCTTGTAGTAGTTGAACATGTCACCATCCTGCCCCCCCATCACCTGAAACAGACGCACATAGATGCAGCCAAACATTAATCCACAGTGGAGAAAAACTTTAGGTTACACCATGCATGAGACTTCTGACCTACATCAGACTACAGGATTAGTGGAAGAGATTCAAGGGATTATATAAGAAGAATACAAAAAATGGATGTGAAATTTAAAAGCAGAAACTGTGTACTACAAATTATTATTCGCTGATTAGTTCAGAGAAAAAAAACTGCTGTATATGCATGTCAGTCTCAAGTTATGTTACGACATCGACCCCTCTAGCAATCTCTGCAAGAGTTTGCATTATTGCAATAATGTCCCGACTCGTGACTCACATCCACAAACTCGCTGGTGAGTTTGAAGGCGGAGGTTTCGAAACCCAAGTTACGGGGTGAGCTGGAGAGAATGAAGCCAAAGTCTATGTGGATGATGTGGCCCTCGGCGTCCAGCAGGATGTTGCCGTTGTGCCTGGGAACAAGGATACGCAGTTGCAAAAAAAGTGGAGAGATACTTTTGATCCAATTTCGCTGGTTGGTAGATGAGTAGAGATGAGACAGGAAGATGGGAGAGATGGAAGGACATGGGTTAGGACAGTGTTTCCCAACCCAGTCCTCGGGAACCCCGGACAGTCCGCGTTTTTGCTTCCTCTCAGCTCCCAGCGAAGCTGTACCAGGTATTCGGTGTTCCTGATTGGCTGGGAGTTGAGAGGGAGCAAAAACGTGGACTGTGTGGGGTTCCCCGAGGACTGGGTTGGGAAACACTGGGTTAGGAGAATGAGAACGGGAATGAGCCATCAACAAGGACAAGAGGAAGAGAAAACATGAGTGAGATGAAACGAAGGCAAATTGATGAAACTGCATGAAACTGAAGGCTGGCAGAAAAACCAGACTTGGCCGGACCACAGTGACGCGTCGTGGGAAGTCTAGCGGGCGGCAGCCCAAGCCTCACCTGTCCTTCACCTGCAGAAGGTAGCAGATGAGGCAGTAACCGGCGCAGCTCTGCACGAAGTTGCGCTGCGCGCTGAGGAAGGCCTCGGTCGTGTAGTTTCCATGCTCCTGCAGGAAGTAGTCCAACAGCGACAGCTGGCTCTGCTTCTTCACCTGGTGGATGGACACGGCGTTCACCACCGGCTCGATCATGCCGCTGTCCGAGGAGATGACCAAGATCTTGTATGGCTTTATCCACAGGGGCACCCGCTCCTGCTCCCAGATTGACTGGAGAGAGGGGGAGAGAGGGAGAGGGAGAGAGAGAGAGAGAGAGAGGGAGAGAGATGGGGAAGAGAGAGAGAGCGAGAGAGAGAGAGAGAGTCAGCTGTGGCTTCTGTAGGATTAATAAACAACAAAGTCAATGCCGCAGTTACAGGGGGCGAAAAAAACAGCAGTTGTGGGACACTCTGAACTACACGCCTCAGCAAGTTTGACTGCTGAGCTGATGTCAAGCCGAGATTATTATTACTATAGCGCAATACAACTGGCACAACTGAGTGCGTGACCTTGCGGGACTTCTGGAGCAATGAATGCTTTCGTTGACGATGTAGAGAGTAGGTTGGTTCTGCAAAATACCTTCAGCTGACTCAGCACCTGGAAGGCGAGCAGCTCTTGTCGGAGGTCATCCCCACACTTGACGATGACAGAGAGTAGTCGCCAGTTGGGGAGGTGGCCATAAGGGGACCCCTCTCTTATTCGCCTGCATCAGACATATGACCAAATACTCATTTCAGGCTCAGATTTTAGTGACTCTGGTTAATAGGAGACCAATTTCGCCATTGGGATCAATAAAGAATATCTACATTTACGGGCCTCACCGAACTTTCTCCTGCCAAGGCTCTTTAAGGGCCACAGCAGAGGGGTCCTCTGGATCTCTTCTAAACGTCGTGGGCGTGTGGGCCAGTTGCTCGGAAAGCCTTCGCCTGGATGGTCAGACCGAAAAGGCAACCCCATGGAGACCCTCTCAGATCACGTCTGACTTATGAAGCCAAGTGTTTTTAATGTCCACCATAAATGGCAGAGAAATTAATCTCTTTTATAGTGAAGCTAACAACAAACAGAACAGGAGTGACATTATACATCTGCTCCAGCAGCAGAACCCTACCGGATGTCCCCGGCTGCGATGAAGACAGGCTCCTTGCTCTCCTGGCTGGTGATACTGTCCACCGAGAACTGCGAGATGTTGTCAGAGCTGTTGGTGTGGATCTCTGGGAGCTGGAAGTGCAAGAAGAGCCCACAGGGGATGAGAGCCGAAAACCACCAAACCGAACCAAAAACCAGGAAATTCCTGTCAACCTTTCAGAAAGCAACTAATTAGATATCTTATATAAAAACCAGAAAAACCACAACAAGGTGCAGACATGAGGAGATGGAATGGGAGAGGAACACTGAAGGGGACCAGAGAGGCGAAGCTGAAGGCACAGTTGAATACGGAGCCAAAATTGCACTATTTAAGAGTCTGTGAAGGCAGAGCTGAAAGTGCGGCCATAGGATTTAGGGAAGTAAAACGGACAGGAAATCGAAAGTAGCGCTTTGGGGAGGGCTGTTAGGCAACACCAGGAAGCATTTCACCCTCCACCACTTCAGTTCAGAAACATCTATCTTAAGAAGCGGGAAGTGAAATGACAATAAGCATATTACTATTGTAATTACACGATTATCGATAAGCTAATATCATTCTGGGGAAATGAGGATTACTGAGGGATACAGGTAGACTTGGGCGGTATGACAGTATTACAGTATACCCCGGTGTTTAGAAATCCCGAACGTATTATTCTTAATAGCGCCAAAAATACACACTCCTCGTTACATTTTAACGGCTATGGAGATGTTGTACGGAGATGTACTGTAGAGCACAGCAAGTGAAACCAGAGGTGAAGTGACTAGGAGCGGCAGCAATGTCACAGGATTAGTAAAAAGAATAAATAGTCGTGCCCAACCTGTTCATTTAATTTTAAGATAACTGTGTCCATACTGTGTGATTTTCATTCTACATTGAGAATATTTGTGAACATCGTGCATGTGAATTAAGTTATCTGAAACACAAAAGCTGACACTATTTTTAACTGATGGAATATACAAATCTAAAATGAAATGAATTCATCATAACATAGAACTTAACCAACAGAAGAATTATTTGGTAGTAGTAAAGAAATAAACTGCTTGTGGTGACCATTTGCACACAGAACTAATATTTAGTGTAATTCACAGCTTGTCCAAGTTCTTGTGCATTCAAACTACTGTTAGAGGACTGGGTAGGACTGGGTAGCTTTGTTTCCCACATACCCTCAGGCAAGGGTGGGCAATCTTACCCAGAGAGGGCCGTTAGATATGCGGGTTTTTCCTGCAGCTCCCTAATTAGATCACTGATTAGAGGACTGATTGGCTGAAGAGTCCTCACACCTTGGTTTGAACAGCCGACCTAAACGTTATCCCAGAAATCTACATACACCCTGGCCTTTTGTGGATGAGATCGCCCATCCCTGCCCTAGGGGGTGGTTACCTGGTGTGTTCTGTGACAACAAACACTTGGGCACTCTCAAAAAAAAGCGCACCAATTTGTACCTTTGCTTGTCACTGGGGCTGTACCGTGAAGGGTCTGCCAATTGTACCCTTAGCTGTAGGTAAATGTACCTTTTAATGTACAGAAATGGAGTCTGAGGAACATTTTTGTACCATTGGGGGTACATAAATGTTTGTACCTGGGGGATGTTCCTCAGTCTATTTCTGTACCTTAAAAGGAAGACCCTTGATGGCACAGCCCCAGTGACAAGCAAAGGTACAAACTTGTACCTATTTTTCTGATAGTGTGACTAGCTGACTTCTTGACGGCATGTATGTTTGTAATTGTACCATTTGTTTAATTTGCTTTCACTTTGGACAAAAGCATCTGCTAAATAAAAATAAATGTAAATATTGGAAGTAGTTTTTTTTATAAAAATATCAACCTGAAAAATAGAAAACATAAAAGCCAAATGACTGCGGGTCTTAGAGACGAGGATTTGAGGAGGGCTACCTCCACCTGCAGCTCGCCGATGTCGTCCACGGACCAGGCCTCGTCGTCGTTGTCGTAGTTGGGCACGGTGGAGAAGCTGGCAGCGCGCTGCTCGGCCGTGATGCCGCAGTCCGGCAGGTTCTCCACCGAGCGCGTGCTGCGGATGCGCGTCTCTGGTATCCGCACCGGCACACTGGACGTCTCGAAGTTCTCGCACTCCAGCACCTCCACGTAAATGAGGTACGGTGCCTGGCAAAGGGACATGACGGTCAGCCACGTCAGTCCTGGTTCGTGGGCATCATAAGAAATTTACAAACGAGAGGAGGCCATTCGGCCCATCCAGCTCATTTGGGGAGAACTAATAGCTCAGAGTTGTTAAAATCTTATTCAGCTCTGATTTAAAGGAACCCAGGGTTTTAGCTTGCACTACATGAACAGGAAGACATTCCATACTCTAAAGAAGTGTTTTCTCAAATTCAGTTTAAAATGTTCTCCCGCTAATTTCCATCATCATTGCGCTACATTTCAATTATCGCCAAAATACTTGTGTATAAGCGCAGGGAACATTCTAGGAAGTGAAGAACTGGAGAAAGGACAATATAGTTGAACATCATTAGCTAAGAGGTCCACCTCTGTCCCGTAAGAGATTTCATCATATCCCTTCCCGGCCCAGACGAGACAGGCTCGCCTACTTTGTCTTTGGAGTTGAGCACCACGGCCTGCGTGTGGGGCACGCGGACCACGTGGTGGTCGAACGCCGCTGTGGGCAGCCACACGCGGGCCGGCAGCTTGTGGTTGAGCAGCGACAGCTCCGAGATGAGACGCTGGGTCTTCTGCTCCTTGGTGGGCAGCGTGGCCAGCCGCTTGCCGATGCCCATCAGGGACTTGATGAACTCTCGCTGGGGGGTCAGGCGTGCTGGCTGCAGACACACAAGGCTTGGTGAGCCTCTCCCATCAGTATGGACCAAACACAACCGACAAACATTAACACGGATCCTGAAAGAATGTGCAGCGATGAAACCGGTGCACATTCTGACAGGATTAAACCATCTCAAATAGATCCAAAGCATTTATAGTGTCAGAAAACAATGTTAAAAAAAATTTTAAACCAACAAAAGGCTCCAAAGCAAACATGCAGTACCAACAACATACAGCAGGTGGCAGTACTGTTAAAAAAAACTGGTTCTTTCTTGCGGCAAACATTTCAGAAATGTCGGACTTAACAAGCACACAATTCCTCTTTTGTTTCATTTTGCTGAGCAAAACCACCCACCGACATGAAATCACTAAAAAGAAATTTAAACAGCATTTACAGCCTTGGTTGGACTAGCAACCATACAGGTTCAGTTACAGCTAATAAACCTCAAGGAGAAATACTGTAAGTGACGCATTTAGTACTCAAACAGGCGGGGGTGGGGGGTCACTGGGGGTCACTGGGCTGAGGAGAGCACCAGCACCCTGTTTCTGGACCATGAAATACAATCCCAGACTTGAAGGAATGCCAAGTAATGGCGTCCAGAAAAAGAAAACTGCAGTTAAGGAAATGAGAGGCATGCAAGGCATAATTAACATTATTCCAGAGCACCACACTACGGGGGGGGGGTACAAAGAATGGCTCACATGGGTCACAAATGAGAGACAGGCCTGAACATTTTCCCATTGTCACACTGGAGTTTGAGAACCAGACCTGCCGCCCCCCCATCTTATACTGAACCAAAACTTTGTGCAAAGTGTCACCAGAACCAGGATTTTAACACAAGCCAAAGTTCTGTTCAGTCACATTCACAAGAAAAAAGATTACAGTATTTTTAATGACACTTTATGACTGGTCTACGAAGTGAAATTTGACGCAAAAAGATGTGCACAGATAGGAGAGACCTTCTCAAACCTGCCAACACACAAAAAAATTTAATTGCAAGGCAGTTTCCTCCTACAAGGATTACACATCCACAACTGTCACTGCAGCTTAAACTCAGAGTATCCATGAGTGGTAGTACTGTCACACAGTCTGCGGGGACGCGACACACCATCAGGGACAAAGTCACTCCAAACGGATTCGGAGGGAGGTCACTGAAGACAGTGCTTAGCCCTGTCTCCCGAAGCCTCCAGAGGCACCTCGACAATAAGGAAGCAGCAACTTACTGTACCAGTCTCTAAGTCAAGGCTGCCAGTGCTGGAGGTCAGATCCTGAGAAAGGAGACCGTTATAGCACAAAAGCAGGGGAGACAGGAAGGCGAGACAAAAAAAGACAAAGGGTCAGTCTCGATGGCTCCCGGTTCACCACGCTGCACGTAACCAAGCCACACCGGACATTCAAAAGTCTGGACACACCTACTGAAAAATCACTTGTCCCTCAAAAGGATAATGACCCTAAACACACCTCGAGGTTACGTTCTAAGTATTATCTTGTGAGGAAAAAGGACAGATGACCTGCCCCCCAACCTAAACCCTATAGAGCAGCGGTGGCCAATCTTACCCGCAAAGGGCCGGTGTGTATGCAGGTTTTTGGGATAACCTGAAGGTCAGCTGTTCAAACCCAGGTGTGAGGACTCTTCAGCCAATCAGTCCTCTAATTAGTAATATAATTAGGGAGCTGCAGCGAAAACCCGCAGACACAGCGGCCCTTTGCGGATAAGGTTGCCCAACCCTGCTATAGAGCTATGTGTTGATAATAAAACAATAAATATACAGGTGTCCTTTTCACTTGATTGTAGGAGGAGTTTATGTCCTTCAGAATTAATTTGAACTTGACATTGTTCAAATTGTGAAATGTATTTTAGGCCCCTTCCAGAGAGTTCCTTCCAGAGCCCAGATGAAGTGGAAAGTCCGACATCTGATGGCGACAGGCCTGGTACTGAGTGCTCAAAGTTCTATGAAGGGTCATCCTTTATACGGCTTGTTTAATCGCAACAGTCTCATTGATTTTGTTGCTGTGCGAAAGGAAATTTAATGTCAACATTAGTCATCATGTGGTTTGGGAAAAGCCTCATTTTGACGTAACTCATACAGCACCAGTCAAAAGTCTGGACACACCGACTGAATATCACAAGATAACAATACTAAGTGCACCTCAAGGTTATGGAAGTACTGAATTATCTTGTGAATAAGGAAAGAGATGGAGTTCTGTGACAGACGACCTGCCCCCCACAATCCCAACTTAAACCTTACAGAGCTGGTTTGGGATGAGTAGGATCAAAGAGTAAGTGCAAGGCGCCAACTTGTGCCCAGAATTTGTGGAAACTCCTTCAGGCCTGTTGGAGAAGCATTCCAGGTGGCTACATCTGGAAGGCGATTGAAAGAATGCCAAGGGACTGCAATGTTGTCACCAAAGCAAAAAATCAAAAAGTTGAGGAAATTTTGAGCTGTTGAACACTTCGCTTAGTTGTTGCAATGCTTCATATGTATTATTTAATTGCCTCAAGGCCTTTTAAGGTGCATAACATAGTTAAAATACAGACACATGCATTAAAAGCAGGTATGTCCAGACTAGCAGCAGGTACGTCCAAACCAGTCCTGTACACAGTTTAAAACACTAAGTCCCAAAGGTAAGAATATGGCAGGATTACACATCACACCAAGCATATCAGCAATACTTCAGTTTAAGGTCTGGTCCTTAAAGATCAATAAACTGTTACTCATTTGATAACATATTTGAAAATAAGACTCAGATACAATCAAATTTAGAAATGTACTTAAGATATTACTCCCATCTCACTAAATATTTACTAACAAACTTGTAAATGCTCCAATTCTAACTCATTTCCTAGTACGCTAACGAACCCATTGTTTTATATTTCTAAGCGATTTACAGGCAGTGTTACAGTTACCAAGAGCAAGGCATGACTGCAGTGCATTTTTAAATTTGACTTTAAGGGAATCTTTTTGTTTGCAAATATATTATCAAATAGTTAGTAACAATTTATTCATAGTGAAGGAGCAGAGCTTTAAGCTAAAGTCTTACCCACATCCCCCCTCTCCCGCCCCGCCCCAAGGGAAAACTGTATCGCGCTATTCTAAGTAACAGAGCGCCTAATAAGTAGGGCAATTCAGGCCGCCTGGGAGGAGGCCTGCCGCTACATACAATAGGAACAAACCACAGGGTATCCTCTAGAACAAGCCTCGGTTGTAGGGAGGGGCAGATTCTGCAGGGTCTAGAGACAGGACACCAAAAGATACAGACCACCAAGCTGCCTGCTCACTTCCTCATCCTGGATTTTCTGCTTAATCGCCATAGCGAAGGAGCTGCCTGTCTAGGACTTCCTAAACAGTCTTTCCGTGACAGCGGGCAGAACGAGATTAGGTGTGGAGCCATGGAGATGGGCGGGGCCTGTCCCACGGAAGCCGCCGGCCCTTCAGGAAGTGCGAGTGCTATTCAGCCACGCCCAGTGCGGTTCAACAGCCGCTCTCATCTCAGCTGGCGGCGGCGTGCTATGGAAACGGGCGCCTTGGAAGACGAGTGGAAAATACCAGCAGACCCCTTAACAAGCAAGCAAGAGCGCAGTCACAGCAGAATATGGGAAACAGCTCTTAGGGAATTTGGAGGTGGACGTTCTCATTTGCCAGACAGCACCGGGCACAAGGCTGGTGATCACCCTGGGAATTCCAGTGATTCGTGGGGCGCACATGCACAGACTAGACAACACTTAGACTACCAGCTTGTCTTTGGACTGCGGGAGGAAACCTTTTTCAATTTGACTATTTATTCAACATATTTTGCTTTATACCTTAAGAAAAAACAAAAACATACAGCCTAGGGTTTACTTTAGGATAAACTTCATATAGTCAGCAAATTCAGCAAACGTATTATGGTGAAATGCAAAGGGAACAATGTCCCTACAAGACATTAAGCAACTTCTATGGCACAGCTTGAATTCCGACAGTATTACCCCATAGTCCCGTCAAACAACGAGCGGCTCATAGTATCTTAAACCTGCCCCAAGATACACTGCTGGTGCTTAGCGAGTCAGCCACCAGGTGAAGCAAGTGATTTGCTTTGAGCAAACAGCCCCCGCACAAAAGCCCCCAGCCCTGTGTGGGACTCGCCGGGGTTTCCGGGGACAAGGGAGCACAGGGAATAACAAGTCAGAGAGAACATGGTGTCACGAGAGTCAGCTTCAGCCAGGGGGACTGAAGTGAATTCTGATCTACACCTACACATGAAGCAGCCAAACCCCTGAGAGCAGGAGACAGACATGGAAAAGATCAACAAAGGGCAAATAAAAGCACAGACATTCATAAGTGATTTAATTCACAATTAAACCTTGGAGTGCGGAGGCTTTGTCCCATGACGGTGATCATACTTTTCTGCGTATGAACATAAGTATGGCGTGTTTAGAGCACATAGAGCACAGCTAATACAGATGTTATTGAAGCGTCTTAGTATTCCTCTCAAGAGAATGTCGCCAACCACACATCCCACAGGACGTCAATAAACAAAATAAATTCATGTAACTTTGGGAAAAGTCAGTAACACGGATTACAACAGAGTGTGTGATTTGAAATCAAAGTATTAATATAATGTTGAAGAGGATCTAGAAAAACAGTCAGGACTGAACAATAAAGATGGCAGGAACATTAATCTGCAAACACTGTAATGTTCATATGTTCAATGTTATATATTTAAAACGCCACAATATATAGAAAAGTTGTCTGGGCTGCAGTGAGATACCCTCTGATCAAAGATGCAGCTCCTTAATGTGAGACACGATAATGTGAGGAATGATAATTGTGGCTGAATGTACACTGTAACACATTCATCAACAAACACCGGGCTTTTGGGTAGAACTCAAGAGAATACAGGGGTAACTGTTACTATGACGACGGGGACAGGAACAGTTATGTCATGCTTCAGAGAAGGAGAGTGATTAAAGTTACCCTTAGAGCAACAGGGATATTGGAGACAGTGTACATAAACAGATGGGCACATGCCGTGCTGCATGATGTAGAGTGCAGGGAATTAAACACACACACACACACACACACACACACACACACA